TGACGGCTGTGATGGGAGAACTGGATCTCAGTGAAGGGCAAGTAGAATACTCAAAAGTACTTTAAAAGTGCTTGAGTTACTTTTCTCAGGGAGTAGTGCAGTAAAGTAACTGGTTACTTTAAAAAAAAGTAATGCAGTAAAGTACTTTGATTACTTTTAAAGTAACCCTTACCCAACTCTACCATGCAGGGTGCTGCCTGCTACTCAGATTTTAATGCACTCAGACATTGATGGATCAGCCACTGGAGCAATTTGGGATTCACTATCTTGCTGAAGGATACTTTAACATGCAGACTGGAGGAGCCGGGGATTGAACCTCTGATTTTCTGATTATTAGACAACCTGCTCTACCTCCTGAGCCAAATGCCTTAACCTTTTTTATTTAACCTGTGCGTTTGGCTAGTCTTGGCTTTGTATTGATGGACATGCAGCCCAGATACCAGATACGGCAGTTGGCTCATTTAGGAATTGTAATATTGCACCTGCAACATTTAATCATTAAACACAGTAATAACCGCTGTGAGTAGGATTTGAACCTACGCAGGGAAACCCCATTGGATTTCGAGTCCAACGCCTTAACCACTCGGCCATCACAGCTCTATCCATCAAGGGAGCTTACTCATGCAATGGATATGGCAAGGCATGTAGTAATTTTTGTTTTCCTTTTCATTTTAATGCCTTTTTGTTATCTATTCTTTTTTGTGTGCATTATTTTTGGGAAATTGCCAAAATGGAACAAAATAAAGTACTACTCCTGCTGAAAAGGACAATTACAGTGTTTGAAAGACTCCCAGAGTGTGAAGGAAGAACTACAACAAGGTTTAAAATTGTTTACAGTATGTTGGAATTAATTTACTCCAGCCTCCTTATAATGCAGCTTGCAGGACTTGTCTTTCTTTTATCTCTTCTGTGGTCAGTAAACAACATACAGGATGTCAGACAAACACATTTCCACAAACCTATTCCCTCTCTGAAGCGGTACACCTCGCTGTCAGTGATCCATCGGCAGATGAGAAACTTGAAGGTGTCTCCCTCGGGGGATTTCACTTCCACCTTGGTGGGAAACCATTTGTCCGGATTTTGGGAAGGCTGTTTTTCAAGCTCTATCAGGACCAGCTTTCCAATGGAGGCAGGGCAGGACATGGTAAAAGTAGACACCTGGAGTAAGGACAGAAATGGTTTGAAAACATTTATGAGAGATAAAGTGTATCTGGTAACAAAGAACTGAGCAGTAACCCAATGCTTAGCATGCAATTACTGAATGTAGAAGGGTGGACAAAGTACAACTTGTGCGGTATGCACAGTATGTACACTGCATAAATTACACTTTTTGGGGGATTTTTTTTTGTAGCTCATCTTTGTGGCTGTAAAATGAAGAGTTGCACAGCAGCACATATGCCGTCATGGCCCATAGGAGTCTGATTTGGTATGAGTTTACATAACCTTTTCTACTTAGTGAGCCTACAATCTCGTATAGGTAAAAGTTGAGGATGTGTGTTATACATTTAAACACAGAGAGGGATATGTCAGACTTACTGCTCCTCTGATGAAGGATGACTCTCCCTTGGAGTCCATGAGCCTCGTGCGTTTGCTCTCACCATCCTTTCCCACCAGCTTAATGAAGACATGGTCACAAGTGCCGGCATCATCCAGATAGGAAGTGGACACGGTCACTTGATAATCAGCCATTTTCACTCTGGAAAACAGAAGAATCCTGGTGGGGCGAGAATAAAGATAACCAATATCAGCACTGAATGTGTTAACTGTCACTAGAAGAAGTGAAAAAAATTAAAATACTGGTATCACAATGAAAAAAGCATCAGCAAAAAGGTATTATAACACCTAATGTCATATTTATCTTTTCCCACTCTCACCTGTTGACTGAAGACGAAGTTCCTTTGATGAACTGCTCATTTGATAAAATAATCCTCACTGATTCCTCTTTTCATCTACACAGTTTTGTGGGAGTGTCTGATCAGTAAAAGTTAATCTCCTGATAAATTGTGGATATGTTTGAAAAATTGCAAAACCACAGAGCGATGACAAACCAGTTCTCCCACTGTTACATGTGAGAACATCGCAGTCACTAAAAATATTAGTTCCAGGTAAATGTTCAAACAACAGCAGAAAATATGTTCACTCATACAATTAACCCAAATTTATCTGATTGTTCGTAATTGTACCATGAAAGTAAACTTTTTCTATAATGTGGAAAATACATACAGTAGAATACACAGTTACAGCCATCTAAAGTTGTCGCTTCCAGCCAGAGGCTCTTTGTTTGCCAACCAACTGGCATCCAGTTTTCAGCCATATTTCATTCACATATTTTCAACAGCACAAACACAGATTGTACCCCACATTTCACCATAGTGACTATGACAGTATCTTTGACAGACAGTGTCTCATCTATATTATGTATCAACTTGCTTGAGCTCTCCATTTAAGTTTAGATATAAGATGTCAACAATGAGTAAAATATTCAGGATTAGAATCACAGTATCAGAATCAAATATTGAAAGCAAATACTCTTCATGTGCATCATCATCAAACTTCCCCAGAAATGTAGCCTGGAACCAGCAGGTGGTCTGTGGGTGCTCAGAGGCTGGAGGAGTACTGCAGTATTTTATTGAACTAGTTCTGGGGCCGTATTCACAAAGCTTCCTAGCACAAAGAGTTGCTCCTGACAAGATTCTAATTCTTGTGACATTTTCTTAGAATTTCCCATTAAAGTTAAGACTAGGTCCTCAGATCTTATTAGAGCTCCCAAGGTGAAAAACTGTTCGGAGCAGTGAGGAGGACTTTTAAGAGGCTTAAGAGTTTCTTAATCAGAGTTGTATAAGTTGTACGATGCAATTAAAGTAACCCCGTTGGCTATAACTTTTCTCCGTGGTTCTTCGAGTCTCTTCATTTCAGTGTTTGCTGAAGTTGAGCAGTTTCCTTACATAATAACCAATCACATCTGTTGAAAGAGTGCATCATATGTTTAAACGTGGGCAAACCACACCTCCTCACTAAGGTACAAGTTTCTGTCCTTTCCTTGCTCACAGTCGCTCTGAAAACATTCAGAGCTAGGACTCCTTATTAAAAGCTCTTAGGCTAAGTTAGGAGCTTTAGAATGTTGTGAATAAGGTCCCTGGACTACAGTAAGAGGTTTTTCTTTCTTTTTTCTTTTTTTGGTCATCCCTATTTAAATACATGAAGGGGAGAAACAACTCTGGATATAATGTAGTTGGGTAGAACACCACTAACTATGGCCTCATAACTGCTAAAACACATGGCTTATATCATCTCATAGTGTCAAAAAACAGATTATAAAATAGAAGTAAAGTGTCGCACACTGAGTTTATGCTCCCGCTTTTATTTAGCTCAAAGCTGCAAGCAAGAACCAATTTCTATCTCACTGAGCTAATTAGTCAGTGACAACTTATGTGTAGCTTCACAAATTGACTAAGCCAGACGTGCAGGTTTAGCAGCCGTCCATACGTGGAAAAGCAGATTTCAAACCACTGTCAAAAATTCAGTTATTGAAACAAAATTCTGAAAATACACATATTGCATCTAGACAGCATGGAGATGTTGGTAATTTGTTTGTAACAATGATTGTTTAAAATTGCCATTTTTACATTGACTCCAATTGTTCACATTAGAGCAAAATTCAAAATGCTGTCAAAAATTCAGTTTTTGAGATAAAATTCTGAAATTTGCCACACATCATCTACCATGACTCTAGAATTTTGTCTTTTTTTCATGAACATTGAAGATTTATTTAGCAAGAATTTGCATGTAT